AAAGGAATGTAATCGCAAAATCAAATCGCAATCGCAATATCTGTCAGAAAAATCGCAATTAGATATTTTCCCCAAATCGTTCAGCCCTTCCGTAGAGGCGCCCGAATCTGTACGGAAATTCACGGCACGCAGCTCACGTCCGTGCCTATGATAGCCGGAGCGACGTTTATTCTTGACGGTAATAGTTTAGCAATCGTGCGAGAAACGAACACGCCACGGCGAGCTCGCGATGCACGTACGAAATAACCCCCCCCCCTTCCTCCCCCTCGCATCTCGTAAATTCAACGATTCAACGGCATTGGCACCCTCGAAGAGAGAGAGATTTGATTAGAGCCTGCTTGTGACCTGCCTGCCACCCAGCTGATCCACTCGTGCAGCGATCTTCATTGCAAGGTCCGCCAGGAGTAACAACACCCCCTACCATCATCGCCATCGTGTCGCTGTCAACCCCCCCCTCCCCCACCGATGGTTTCAAATGTGGTGCAGCCCTCCCCACACTCATGATGTCTTATCGGCGAAAGTGCTCCCACCCCCCCCACTCCCCCGTCTGAGAATGAGTGAAGGACGCTGGCCTAATCGATCGCCCGCTGACCCGTTTCGGCTCATTTGGCCTCCACCATGCACGGCCGTGTCACGCACGTACGTTGAACTTCTTTCGCACCGTACGTAGCCGACCGTGCTAATCGGAGGTGCGGGGGGAGGACAACAAACTAAACACGAAAAAAATATATTCTAAAGGAATGAGTTTTCCATCTAGATAATAATTGAAAAGTGCACAGCTCCCAGTAGCGTACGGATATCGCAAGGAAGAGCGTTCCAGACGGCCGCAGAAGCGCATCTGAAAGCGCACTCCAAAAGCCGCTGCTGTTTGCTCGCGAGGATGAGTGGAGTTCGCGTGATGGTGGTGGTTTAGGGTCCCTGGACGAGATGATCGAGGTAATTGTGATCCCTTTGCGGCAAACACTTTCTCGTGTGCGGAACGAGTGCGACGACCTCATCACGTCTTCGTTCGTCAATGTGGAAAAGAAACAGAGGCTCGGATAATTCGTCAACGCAGCCGCGAGCCCTCGGTGCCCCCCCCCGAAGTTCCCTCCAAACTCTTTGCGCACCGAATTCCAACGGACAAAAAAAGTGAAGGGGGGTAAAGGTGCAGCCCTGCAATTGCTTGGCTTGGCGCCACTGCCGGGAAGAAGGGCCCCCATGCACTGAAGTGAGTGCATCAGAGCCTCCCCTCTAGGATGAAGGTGTATACATGTTATTCTTACACGCAGGCCAGAGGTGAAAGTACTCATCACACTTTACTCCACCACACCACGATCCTGACAATCATAGACTAACTGTTGTGCGTCCGTGTATCTTCATAGGGGGGTGGTTAAGAAATCGGTCTCATTGTTTCGACTGCCACGTCGCGAGATCGAAGCAAAGCAGAGACCTGGTTCAGAATCGGAATATTCATTCATACTGGAGGAATCCGATGAGCTATCAAGCTCCTCTTTTCACAGATGTCCAGTCCGGGGCAGACCAGAACGTCTCAACAACAAGCAAAACAAAAACACGATAGGAGTCCACAATCTAGGAAACGTAAACAAATCGCGTTAACAAAATATACAAATAAAACTAAACTATTTTTTTCTTATCAGGTAAAACCCACTGAGCTAGTTACACCTGATGACGGAAGCTTGTGTTGCCTCCGTCGTGATTTGACTTTATTTGTATTTTTACCTACGCGGCTTTACCGAAAGAACCAAAGAGTATGGATCATTGCAGTCACGAAAACTTCAAATTTAGAATTATCCGCTTAGTGTTTCAGAGGCGAAGCATTCTACACCACGACAGTCTAAAATGTCAATTTAGTCACGGAAATGCTAAGGAATTGTATGTTCAATGAACTGTCATCAATCTCACGAGATAGGAACGTGGCGATTCCTTCCCCCGCCCCCCTCCAGAGGCATTGACGAATTGTCACAATTCGCCGGAGGTAGCAATTTAATTCAGAGAATCGATTGTTGATGCGACGCAGGCTGCTCCGCAGGTCAGAGAGCCGCTGAGACCGTGGGATCAAGTCCACATCCCGGCCACTGCCCGCGATGCGACCGAGATCTCGTGGATGGTCTCGGCACAATCGCTAATAATCAAATCACAGAAGTGTAGTGGAGGCCACATCATCGGCAATGTCAACAGCATGATGATGATGGGCGGGGAGTCTTGGGGGCACACGTCAGGGGCCCACGGTAGCCCGCGAGGCCTTGCGATGAGGAACGCTGTCCCGGGATGGTGACGGACGGGGGAGTCTGTGGTCTTGCCTTTCCATTAGCACGGTTGGCTACGCACGGTGCGGAAGAAATTCAACATCACGTACAAACAACACGCGCAGACAATTGTCAGCATTGTTGTTTCGTGTTTGGGTTCGGTCGTGTCGCTGGGTGCGGTGCGTCAAGATCGGCACTGCTCTGTGAAAATGCGAGGTCGCAGTAAGGGACCGTCCATAAATGACGTCACGCGATTTTGGACGATTTTGACCCCCCCCCCTCGTCACACGGCGTCACAAAAAGTCAGACCCCCCCCTTAAATATGACGTCACAAAGCTCTGCTCCCCCCCCCGAACAATTTTTCCATTTTGAAAATAAAACATGCTTCAAATCGCTTTAAACTATCGTCATTGTAGTGCGTATTTAATGTGGCGCTGCACTCTGATGTTGTAAGAGAAAACATTTACTTAAAAGTCTATTTAATTAAATGGAACGTGTTGTCTATATTTATTTAAAGTTGCGAATTTTGATGTGACGTCACATTTCTCACCCCCCCCCCTCCTCGTCACACATCGTCACAAATGTCTGACCCCCTCCCCCCCCCCCCAAGTGCGTGACGTCATTTATGGACGGCCCCTAACGTGACTCGCAACCAGAAATGATGAAGATTGACCTACCGAACTGTGTGTGTGTGTGTGGGGAAGCGGTAGAGGAGTAGCGGTAAGCGCGCTGTGCTACGAACCCAGCGGTCCGAGTTCGATTCACGCTCACGAACCGACACCAGTGACGATTATTTGAAACGGTCCTGGGCTTCCCCTAGGTTGACTCAGCCTCAAATAAGTACATGGTGGCGTGTGTACACATTGTCACTCGGGAGAAAAAGGCGGTCGGGCGTGGTGTTGGCCACCCACCCCCTCGTGTGCCGTGCTGGCCTTCATCGGTGTTACTCGCTAACAGCACTTGCCCCTCCTCGTTTCTTTGCGAAACCTGGACCCCCTGTGAAGGAACATCTCCACCAGTTTGAAACATTCATGCTCACTTACTTACCGACGATCCATGCTGAGGAGCTGGCAGATCTTTGAAAGATCTGTACACATTCTTATTAGCGAGCACCTCCGGCAGGCAAGGCTGCTTTGGCTGGGTCCCGTGGCCCGCATACCCAGCACCTGCTTTACCCAAACATCTTCTGTTTGGTGGGACATAGGGGGGCTAAACGGGCACGGGCCACAGAAGATATTGGCTCATGTTGTACAGGATGATGTGGAGCCGAGTGGACATGCCGATGATCGGTTCCAGAGGTGTCAAGATCGGCCTCTATGGTTTATACACTAACTGGTTTTTTTGCCTTATGCTGCTGAAGCAGTAATAGAACCTGGACACGTTTGATCACACGTTGACTTTTTTATGAATGGGGCTGTGCCGGGTTGAGGAGGGTTTACAACACACAGTACCATCAAGCATCGTTCCAGTTATCATTGGCACGAGACGCGAGCCGCGTGCAGTGAATTTCCATATAGATTTTGGCGCCTCTATTTTATAGTCGAGTACAAGACAAAATACAAAGATCCCCCGTATAGCCTTAACAGACTGTTGGGGCAAGTTGCTGGGAACGAGTAGCACCTATGAAGGCCGGCACGGCACACGACGGGGTGGGTGGCCAACACTACGCCCGGCCGCATTTGTCTCCCGAGTGGCGGTGTTTACTCACCGCACCAGGTACTTATTTGAGCCTGAGTCGACCTAGGGGAGGCCCATGACCGTTTCAATTAATCGTCACCGTGAGCGGGAAACGAACTCGGCTCGCCGTGCTCGTAGCGCACACGCTCACGAACGCAACTCACACGCACACACACGCACACGCGCACACGCGAACTGGTGGCAAACTTTTTATTTTGTTTGTTCTCAGAAGTGTAAATGGATGAGTGGCCCCGAGTGTGAGACGTTGCGCTGACGGCGTCTTGCGAGCCCTAGGAGCGGGGGCTTAGACGTCCACCGATTCCCTGCGGGGCGTGAATCATCTTCGCGATTCCACCGCTCATCCTACAAGAAGAAGCTTTTGTTTCCCGCTCTGGAGGCAAATTTTCGGCGCTTAATTTTTTTTGCGTCGTTTTATTGTATCTTAATGGCATTTGGGGGACCTGACCTTTAAAGTATTTATATTTATCCCTGTAGAGTTAGTTGTGAGTGACCTTTAAGCATTCCTTCACAAATTGGAATCTATATGCGGCACTGCGCATTTAATCGTGAGCTGGTGCTGTGATGTTACATTTTTTTAAATCAATTTTGTGGTTAATCATTACCATCGTATCTTGAGCAAACATTATTTTTTATTCATAGTACAGAATTATTATTGTCATTTGGGCAGTTAGTCAATCGGCAGGTGATCTGTGGTGGAGTAAATTGTGGATAACTTCCACAACGACCTAAATGTATGGACAGTGTGAAAGAGTTTGGTGATTGGACAGATAACTTAAAACATCCAGACACCTGCAATTTTGATTAAGATAGCCGTTACTTGTTTTTTTTTTACCATTGGTAGTGGGGAGAGAGAAGAGCACGTCTACCGTGAAGATGGAGTCACCGAATCATCTCAGACGCAGGTTCCAAATTGTTCCATCGTGCAGGAATGTGAGAGGGCGAAGGGGTGAAAGCCTTCCTCCGGCAGTGGATAGATCGTGGATGATGATGATGATGACGATGCTGATTACGACTGGCGACTTTTTAATAACGTGACGCCTCACTTTGTTGGAAGCAGCTTCAACATAATCATTTTTATTTCAAGTGGTATTTATAAAAATGTTCATTCCATTTGGCAGCCCGCAATAAAACAGTGACAAAAGCCACCACTCTCTAGTCTGTGAAATGTCTTACAGCACAGCACGAAGAAGCATTTGCCAGCAATTGGGTACAACGCAAACTTTGACCAGAAACAGACTGTACAGCAGATCTCAGTTCCAATTAAACATCTAGAAAACATTAACGAGAATGGTTTAAACAGGCAATGCAAGCAGGAATTTCATCATGGGGGGGGGGGGGGGCAGGGGATTCGTTTTTTTTGTCATTTTCATTTTGCGGTCACATAGAAATGCTTTGGAGTTCGGCGGTTTTCAAAATTCCAGCCCCCACCATCGGTTCTGAATCCAGTCCAGATTTCCACATTAGATTTCAGTCCAGAGTTCTGAATCCAGTCCAGATTTACAGATTAGATTTCAGTCCAAATTTGAATTCGATTCCTGTTCGGAGTTCTGAATCCAGTACATATTTCCACATTAGATTTCAGTCCAGATTTGAATCCGAATCCAGTCCGGAGTTCCGAATCCAGTCCAGATTTCCACATTATATTCCAGTCCAGATTTTAATCCGAATCCAGTCCAGAGTCCTGAATCCATTCCAGATTTCCACATTAACCGGTCTTTCTCTATTTTTGTTCGTCTCGCTTTCTCCCGCGCGCAAGCCAGGACCGCCCCACCCCCCGGTTGTGTCCCGTTTCAATTGGAGAAACTTGGAACAATCTGGTGAGCGGATCGCGACTTTAAAGGAACTGGCATTTTTGACAATCGGGCACCTCGAGGAAGCAATGAAAACGAATTTCGACTCAATACCTTTTTAAAATGAGGTCACAGACGACATCACGAGTTTCAGGCAGGGTGATGTAAACGGATGCTGTTTACACTGGGATATACAGTGTCCCTCTCGCTTTTGTTCATCTCTTACCCCTTTAATTGTATAATAACCATATCTTTGTTTTAATATCCCCCCCCCCCCCCCCGGTTGCCAAACATCCTTTGACTCAAGCATCTTCCTCCTCCTCATTAGAAGCCTCGCGCTGCAAACCCCGCCACCACCACCCAAATGCAATTCGGTTGCTTTATCAGTAAACAAATGTTTGCCATTCATTGACGGTCCAGCGCGCGCCGCTCTGGAGTTGAACCTTCTCTCTCTCTCTCTCTCCAAAATAACTTTCCATCGGTTGTCGCCTCAAACGGAAGTAACGCAGACAATTAAACAAAAAAATCCCCGCGTTGCAGGTTCGAGCTGGATAACTTTTTTCATTCGTGTGCCATCGTTTTCACACCTCTCTACCACCACCGCCACCGCCAAACCCCCATGCCGCAAACCACCGCCGCCACTTCCCCGTCCTCTCTCCATCAGTCTCGAACAGCATCGCGAGCGAAATCTTCGAGACGAGCAAAGCGCCGGGTGTCTCGGTTCCTCCCGTGCTCCCAACCACCATCCCAGCCCACGCAGAAGAAGCCGCGGCGAGCACCACGGGACTCGGTTCTAAGCCCGAGTGCGTTGGGGATTTCACTCGCAGGGACCGCGGTCTCGTTCGATGGTTCGCTCAGCTCCGGCGAGAGAAGTTGCCGTGAATTCGCGAGGAGGAGGAAGGGGGTTGGGGAGAGAGAAGCGAGGAGGTTGCGCTGCAAGGAGGATTCTTTGTTGGTGTGGTTTTTAAAAATATCTTTCCCCCCCAATCTATTTTGTTTTCACTTTAACTACTTTTGGGTTGTTGTTGTTGCGTTATCTCATTGTGACCCACGGTTGTTGTTGCTGTTGTTGCGTTATCTCATTGTGACCCACGGTTGTTGCTGTTGTTGCGTTATCTCATTGTGACCCACGGTTGTTGTTGCTGTTGTTGCGTTATCTCATTGTGACCCACGGTTGTTGTTGTTGTTGCGTTATCTCATTGTGACCCACGGTTGTTGTTGTTGTTGCGTTATGTCATTGTGACCCACGGGAATCCAGCGATCACGGCGACATCGACCCCGTCTCTCTCTTCCGCGTGCCTCCTCTTCCTACTCCTCCTCTTCCTACCCCTCCTCCTCCTCTCCCTCCTCCTCTTCCTCCTCTTCCTACTGACGTGGAGGTTGCGAGACAGCGAGGAGACTCGCGCGGGTGCACGCGACACGAACAACGTAAAAAGAGAAACGCCATTGCACGGAATTCTCGTTTTGTAAAATGATTTTTTTTGTCGTCATCGTCGTTGTTGCAGTTGTTGTTGATGTCGTTAGCAGTTGTTGTTAGTAGTTGTTGTAGTAGTAGTCGTATAACTCTTCTGAATGAACTCTAGGGTTAATTCAAGGCTAAAGCGGAACCTTCCGTCAGTTCGCCACCACTCAGGTATGCGAAGCCAGCCAGGCCCAGACCCCACCTCACTTTGGGAGGTGGAGGAGGTTGCAGCTGTCGGTGATGAGCGGAGAGTGATTGATCGGCCGAGTGATTGATCGGCCGAGTGACTGATCGGCCGAGTGTCGAGCACAAAGTTTTTGTTGTTTTGTTTTCGCTTTTGATTCCAAGACCACGCGCGGTATCGTCGTCGCCTCTCTTGTAAACTTTTTTTTGGGATGTGCTTGGCTTCGGCAGGGGGCATCGCTCTCACGGGCTCCCTCCCCTCCCACGACCCCCATTCACATCCTCTGTCGCGGTTTAACCTGTGTGGTTGCTGTAGTTAATGTACGTGGCCTTCTTTCCCGGGTCGGCTATTCTCGACACGGAAATTATAAAGCAAACGCAAAGTGGGATAAGACGGCGACAACAACAACACCAAGTGTAAACAACGACAACAACAACATAAAGAAACCAAAGAAAGTGGGACGTAAATAATAAACGCACACACATACACACAGGGACAAGAGTTGGGTTAGCGCACGTTTGTTCGCACGCGCGTGTCCATGCACAGGTTCACAGTTGAGTGTAGTCCGGCATGCGGCAAATTCACCTCCGCGGCGAATCGAGTAAAAACAATTTGATTGCGTTTTTCATCTCATTTGTTGCCGTGTCGTATCGCCAGTCTCGCGTTCCGTGCCGCTCGTTATCCTTACATTAGTAAAACAAACTACAAAAATATTTCTCATTCATGATGGTGACAAGGAAATGTATCATCGCGGCACAGCGCAAGTGACTCCTGGTTGACGCGGTGGGGTGCGCCAAGAACTCCGTCCATCCGAGTTCGAGTCCAGGCCATGGGTTCTGCCCCCCGACGCAACCCTCACCCATCTTCACCAACCCACACTGACCAGCGTGGTGAAGTATGGTCAACTAGCCACCGTGACCGACACGGCTTGGGAAGGCCTTCATCCAGCAGTGGATTTACTAAAGGGCTGTGAACAATAATAATCATCAGCATCTATTAATTATACCATGGATGTCAAAATATCTGCTGGCACATTCGCAGCCCATCCGTCTTTCAATCAGAACACAAACTCGTGCCGCTGCTTTTAGCCTGGAACGGGGCCCCCGTAAGTTCAGCGGAGTGCGCTTGCCAATAACATCTGAGGAATCCGTCAACATGTGTTTAACAGTAAAGTCACGTAGAATGTCTGGAGGACAGCGCTGTCCTCCAGACAGCCTCGTCCCTTCACCTGATGAAGGCCGCTTGTGTTGTGGCCGAAACGTCGTGAGAATATTATTGTGTTATTTTATCAATGTATTATTTTATTCTCATTCTACGTGGTGACTTTACCGAAAGAACCAAAGAAGATGAATCCTTGCAGTCACGAAAGCTTTAAATCGAAAAATGTGTTTAACAGGCCTGAATCCGCTGATGAGACTCAGGACGTCAAAAGCGGTCCGGACTTCTGCTCGCCTAAAATCAACTGCCGCTCAAATAGCCTTGGTGTGGTAGGCCACTAGGCTGACGGAGCAAAAATTATGAAACTGTTTTTATTCATCTCCGCGCAGAGACAGAACTTCTGCCGACTGTGCACTCTCAGTTACGTGGCTCAACTTGATGGGTGTTGTGTCAGCCCGTCGAACATCGATTGACCAGTTCCTTAAACACGCGGCTCGAAATGCGCGTTCGGAAAGGAACCGGCGAATCATCACGCGCCTCCCGAAAAAGGCCTTGACACGACACAGCCTACCGTCACAACGGCTGCCTTCAATTCTAGCGCCCGCAGCTTCGACGAAGCACAACCTACGGTTGCTTACACGTTCATTAAACACAGCAAACAGTAAACCTTGCTTATGTAAAGTACTCGGCACGCGGGCGCGGTTTGTGCAGTCGTGGAGAATATAAGCAGCAAAATAAATACGCAGGCTACGTCTCCTTCATGCATCTGCCCATTAATTATGTTTACTTTCCATCAGTCACGAGACATTCTGGCAGTGCCTCATTTCAGCAGCATTGGTTCGGTACGGGGCGCCGCAGTGGTGAGATGTCATCTCCCTCGCCTCGTATGCAGGAGGTCGTGGGTTCGATCCCGACCCCGACCCCGACGCCTGTATAGTTGGATTCTGCATGTCTCTTTCTCTCTCTGTGGTCGCGTGGATTTTTCTCCGGGACCTACGTGTTTTCCCTCCACATTCAGAATCAAAGTGCGTTTAGAGTATTTGGCTGCGACACATTTCCAAGTGATGATAAGCCACTTCGAATGAGCTATCATTTGTGGCCAGGTCGCTTCTGAAAAAAAAGAGCTATACATCTCAGTAGGCCTCACCTGGTAAAATACAAAATAAAAACAGCACAAACATAATCTGGGCCGGTTTTTTTTTACATACAGAGTCTCATCAGCAGAGTCAGGCTTGCTTGAGCCATGACATATTTTGCGTGCCGTATATATTTTTTTAATCTTGTTCTGTATTATATCGTTTTGTGCAGAACTTCAGACCCGTGTCTTCAAGTGTGGGGCCTTGCCTCTAAACATCGCGCAGTGCTGCTGCATTGGTTAAAACAAGCCTGCCTCTGCTGATGAGACTCTAAACGTTAAAACCTGCCCAGAGTGTGCTTAGATTGAAGCATTGCATACACCTGTGTGGCGGCTGATGGGTTGTGTAAGAGTCACTTGCAATTACTACGTGGACGGACGTATTCGTGAAGGAGACATTGTCTGTGTAAATATTAAGTACTCAGATTTGCAGATATTAGCTCTTGTTTTTTTTGTTTAAAATTAATTTGCTGTGTCTGTTTGTAAGTACTTCCCCCCAAGGTATTAATCCCAATGTATTAAAATGAACAAAAATAATCGCCTTATGCAGTGTTCCGTTCAAATGAAAAATAACACCACGTTAATTACACAATGTTCGTTTGCATTACGCGGACATGATAATTAATTACGGCTCTTGTATTTTTTGTTCAGAGAAAAGAAGAAGAAGACCACGCGTAAATATTTATTAAATAAAAACAAACTTCCACTGTTAACAAACCAACACATATTCCGCGTCGATTTGTGGGGAGGAGACTGCCTTCGATCTTCGCTCAATTTATGCAAATTTATTAATACAAATGACAACATATTTATCGTGGGACCTCCTTTGCCAGTACCAAAATATGAGAATAGGTTTTCCCATTTTTTCTGGCAACAAAACAGGTGTTAAGATGTTAAAACACCAAACTGAAACCTTTTTACAAGGAATCACGTCTGCATTAACCACAGTGCTTGTGGTTAGAATGCAAACAAAAAAACATACTCTGATAATATATGTGGCATTGTCCTTGAAACTGATTGGTCCACACCGGAGACAGCTTTCTCTTGAGCCTCCTCTCAAACGGTGTTAGACCAGAGGACGCCAAAAATCTAACACCGTTTTGAGACGAGGCTCCAATGAAAGCTGTCTCTGGTGTGGACCAATCAGTTTCAAAGACAATGCATATATTATCAGAGATTGTTTTTATGTTTTCATTCTGATCACAAGTATTGTGGTTAATGCAGACATGATTCCTTGTAAAAGGTTTCAGTTTTGTGTTTTAACATCTTAACACCTATTCTTGGTTCTTTCGGTAAAGTCACGTAGAAGGGAAACGATAAAATAATAAAAATATAAAACAATAAAATAGTTTATATTTGTATTGTTTCCCTTCTACGTGACTTCTACGTGACTTTACCGAAAGAGCCAAGACTATGAATCCCTGCAGTCACGAAAGCTTCAAGTCAAAATCTCAACACCTGTTTGTTGCCAGAAAAAAAATGGGGAAAACCGATCGTCGCAAAATATTGTATTTCGTTTGTCTCCCTCGCCCTCGCGCCTCCCATTGGCACGGTTGGCTACGTACGGTGCGAAAGACGTTCAACGTACGTGCGTACAAAGTTAGGACACGCGGGGTCATTTAATGTATTGTCACGCTGCCATTGATTGTTTATGATGGACGTTCATATTTTATCTGTTATCAATGTCTACTTTTCATCTGCCTGTGGTGGTCACCGCAAATGTTGTCGTGTTAAAATGAAAAAAAAAAACAACTCGAACAAAAACCCCGAATGAATTGAGACGAAACATAATTGATGAATGTTAAGAGAATCCAGCTGCAATCTTAGATTAATAACAGAGTCCAACATTAATTTCAAAATATAATCCATGCAGCATGCATTCTTGTGAATGAAAGGCAGTTTGACCATTTGTTATGATAAATTAAATTACCCTTTGTGATTTGTTAAAATAAACTCAACAGCCCCACGTGTGTTCTGACTATTGGGCCACCCTGTATAGATTTATTGACACTCAACTTTCATGCACACGAGGAACATTTCAACCGGAACAAGTCCTGGGGCGTTTTCTCTTGAACGTTAAGGTCACTTTAACCAAAGCGTACAATGTTAGTGAAAGGTAAAGTATATTTTGATCGTGTAAATGAAGACAATAACAGAAGAAGAAAAAACAACAACTCAACAACAACAACAACAACAAACCGTGCACGTGAATATAATTTACTACTATAATGAGCCAAGAATGTCTGTGTCCCGTGCGTGACGTCACTCCACGTCGACCAGCCCACCCTCATTAATAATCATGAACAGGTTACGTCCTGTTCTTCGGGTCTTTCGTTAAAGTCACGTAGATAGGTTCAAAGAAAATTTTAAAAAAAGACTACGAAGTTTTGATCACAACGCAAGCGATCGTCATCAGGAGGAAAAGAAGAGTGGGAAAGCTGCTGAGGCAGACTGTTTTAAATGTTTAAAATGAGAGCCGAAAAGAACAATGAGCATCGGAAGGTGGTAGGATGGGAACATCAAAGCTAATCATGACTTAAACTGGTTGACAACGTCCTTCCAATGATTCCTCAGTTCATACCCATCTTCTCGATTTAAGTTGTGTCTGTATATGTGGATGGCTTCATGAACGAATCTTTGTGGGTTTGCAAAGTACCTTCATCTTAGAGAAACCAATTTCGTGTAAGCCCACCGCATTAAAACAATGATCGGCCACGGCTGAGGTATTGGTCCTACCGTGTTTCAGATCTGCCTTGTGCTCACGAACACGGTCCGAGACATGTCGCTTAGTTTCCCCAATGTAACTACTGCCGCGGACACAGCTTAGTTTGTAGACGCCGGGGTATTGCATGTCAGGGATCACATCCTTCACAGATGGGATCAGACCACGAAATCATGAGCAAATACAAGATCCAGGTTCGATTTAACGCAGTACAAAAATTCGTGATCTAATCCCATCTGTGAGGGTTTCTTACGGTTTTTTTTACGCTTTCCTACCACAACAGCTGACACGGCGGACGTACTCAATGGCGTTGGCCCAAACATGCCAATGGAGGCCGGAGCCTCCTCAAAAAGAGCCTTCAGACTCAATGCAGCTGTCCTGGGTAAATAACAATCAGCATTCTATGACACTGAGTGTCATTGACGGCAGTGGCGTCCCTTGCCCCGGTTACGTTTTACAATATGCATGGCATAAGCATGGCAAACCACACTCACGCCATACAATAATAACAACAACAACAACAACGCACGTTGATTCTAATCGCACGATGATACGATTTTAAACAGCGCTTGAAACGCAATCTCAGCTCCCTCTTTAGAGGAGGACCTTCCAACACCGATGCAATTGCAGGGCCTGCACCTGTACCATCCTTGCCCCTAGGACAATCAGTTTCCTCCGCCTGCCACGCGCCGTGATAATTTTTCAACCTGGCCAGGTTTCTGGCGAGCGTTTCAAACGCCCCCCCCCCCCTCTCACCGACACCCCCCCCCCCCCCCCGCCGATCCTGACGCAATTTCCCCGACCGCAGGGGAAACGCATTCTGAGTGACTCGCCGCCAACAACTTTGCTCCCGACGCTCGCTCCCCAGAGGCGCTCAACTTCCCATGCCCGTCAAGCGTCGCCCGCCCGCCCGCCCGCCCGCCCGCCCGCCCCACGTCAAATCGTCGTCATTGCCATCGGCGGCGTCTCGTGCGTGGCCGACGAGCGGCCTCTCAAACTCGCCTGCCGTGACTTTGAGAGGCCGCCACAATGTTACACACCCCCCCCCCCCCCCCTCCCTCACCTTCTCCCCCGGAATCAACGCGACACAGAGGGGGGGGTGGAGGGCGGTGGTGGTGGTGGTGGTGGTGGAGCGGCGGTGGCCGAGGGAGGTGGCGGTGCCACCGCCTCCGTCGCCCGGCGTGCTCGTTGGCGGCGAAACTCGGCGAAGTAAAAACAAAAAAAACGAAAAAACGAACTCGATGGCGAGAAAGAAACGGAGGGAGCGGATACATACTTGGAGCTCACTTACTGTTGGGCTCGGCAGCGTTCTCGCAGATCTCCGTCTTCGCCTGACCGTTGGGGCGCTCGCCCGACTTCTGGGACAGCTTCTGGGACATGGTGGCGGCCGTGACCACGGCCTTGAAGCTGCGCTTGCGCTTCTGGACGTTGAGTTCCGGGTGCAGCACGATAATGTAGACCTTGGGGAAGAAGAGCATCCCCAGCGACACGGTGGCGCTGAGGCTCATGGAGATGGTGAGGGTGGTCGTCTGGATGTACATCTGCACGGGCGCGGGGCGGGTGGGAGATGCGCGGGTGGACAACGTAGAGCATCGTGAATGGCGTCGACATCGTTAACAAGAGCAGCAGCAGCAGCAGCAGCGGCAGCAGCAGCAGCAGCAACGTCGACAAGAAGCATCAGCAACATCAAGAACATGACCGATATCAACGGAATTATCAACACTAAACATTAGTGGCATCGTCATCAGCAGCAGCAGCAGCAGCGCTAATGTCATCAGGAGTAACGTCGATAGCATCATCAACAGCATCAGCACAACACCAGCAACATCGACAAAAAACATTAACAACGAGCAACATCGACAATGGCAAAACATATCATTCAGCATCTCCGAAGCGGCAACATCATCATCAACAACATCAGCAGCACAACAATCTCTCCTTGACACTCGGTGTAATTTATTTATTAGGTATAGCCCTGTGAGCCATGAGGCTCTTTACTCGGGTGCAACCGCAACAAACAAAAACTTGAAACAAATAAGAACATCTTAAAGTGACGTTTCGCAACAGAAACGTTCAGGAAAAAAACAGTAAAAATCTTCCACGAAAAAAAGAAGTGAATGGACTCAATGTGGCTTGCGCCCATTAATACTGCTGCTGGGACACACAGGCGCCACAGAAGTTGGAACTAGACAATTTTGTTGCTGGGGTCAAATCCTTCACAGCGTCCTTCATCACAAGGCCACCAGGGGCCTCTCGTGGCCTCTGGTGGCCTTGAGTGCGTCCCCTGACGTGCGGTCCTCCGACAACGCACAAAAAGTGACAACAAGACCCCGCAATCAACGTCATCGTCGTGCTGCTGTCAAACCCAACCCAAGGGTTTCAAATGTGTGGCGGTCCGCACACATTGCTGATGTCTGATCGGCGAAAGTGCCTCCCCCCCCCCCCACTCTGAAAATTAGCGAAGAACGCTGCCTTCATTTATAAACTCCGAGTGAGATGACAGAAGCGATGTAGATTTGGTTTGCCAGACTGCAACACACCCACTCACCACACTGCAGGTCACAACAACACACTCACTCACCACGCTGCAGGTCACAACAACTCACTCACTCACTCACCACACTGCAGGTCACAACAACTCACTCACTCACCTCACTGCAGGTCACAACAACGCAGCCACTCACCACACTGCAGGTCACTACAACACACCACTCACCACACTGCAGGTCACAACAACACACTCACTCACCTCACTGCAGGTCACAACAACGCAGCCACTCACCACACTGCAGGTCACAACAACACACTCACTCACCTCACTGCAGGTCACAACAACACACTCACTCACCACACTGCAAGTCACAACAACACACCACTCACCACACTGCAGGTCACAACAACACACCCACTCACCACACTGCAGGTTACAACAACACACCCACTCACCACACTGCAGGTCACAACAACACACCACTCACCACACTGAAGGTCACAACAACACACCCACTCACCACACTGCAGGTCACAACAACACACCCACTCACCACACTGCAGGTCACAACAACACACTCACTCACCACGCTGCAGGTCACAACCACTCACTCATTCACTCACCACACTGCAGGTCACAACAACTCACTCACTCACCTCACTGCAGGTCACAACAACGCAGCCACTCACCACACTGCAGGTCACAACAACACACCACTCACCACACTGCAGGTCACAACAACACACTCACTCACCTCACTGCAGGTCACAACAACGCAGCCACTCACCACACTGCAGGTCACAACAACACACTCACTCACCTCACTGCAGGTCACAACAACACACTCACTCACCACACTGCAAGTCACAACAACACACCACTCACCACACTGCAGGTCACAACAACACACCCACTCACCACACTGCAGGTTACAACAACACACCCACTCACCACACTGCAGGTCACAACAACACACCACTCACCACACTGCAGGTCACAACAACACACCCACTCACCACACTGCAGGTCACAACAACACACCCACTCACCACACTGCAGGTCACAACAACACACCCACTCACCACAATGCAGGTCACAACAACACACCACTCACCACACTGCAGGTCACAACAACACACTCACTCACCACACTGCAGGTCACAACAACACACTCACTCACCACACTGCAGGTCACAACAACACACTCACTCACCACACTGCAGGTCACAACAACACACTCACTCACCACACTGCAGGTCACAACAACACACTCACTCACCACACTGCAGGTCACAACAACACACCACGCACCACTCTGCAGGTCACAACAACACACCACTCATCACAATGCAGGTCACAACAACACACCACTCACCACACTGCAGGTCACAACAACACACCCACTCACCTCACTGCAGGTCACAACAACACACTCACTCACCTCACTGCAGGTCACAACAACACACCACTCACCACACTGCAGGTCACAACAACACACTCACTCACCTCACTGCAGGTCACAACAACACACTCACTCACCACACTGCAGGTCACAACAACACACTCACTCACCACACTGCAGGTCACAACAACACACCACTCACCACACTGCAGGTCACAACAACACACCACTCATCACAATGCAGGTCACAACAACACACTCACTCACCTCACTGCAGGTCACAACAACACACTCACTCACCTCACTGCAGGTCACAACTGTTCACCCACTCACCACACTGCAGGTCAGAACAACACGCTCACTCACCTCACTGCAGGTCACAACAACACACTCACTCACCTCACTGCAGGTCACAACAACACACCACTCACCACACTGCAGGTCACAACAACACACTCACTCACCTCACTGCAGGCCACAACAACACACTCACTCACCACACTGCAGGTCACAACAACACACTCACTCACCACACTGCAGGTCACAACAACACACCACTCACCACACTGCAGGTCACAACAACACACCACTCACCACAATGCAGGTCACAACAACACACCCACTCACCACACTGCAGGTCACAACAACACACCACTCACCACACTGCAGGTCACAACAACACACCCACTCACCACAATGCAGGTCACAACAACACACCCACTCACCACTCTGCAGGTCACAACAACACGCTCACCCAACAACAACAGCCAACGTTCGCCACTAAGTGGCAGTGACGTCACAATGGCGATTGTGCCTTGGCAGGTGCACTTTGAGGCCACGTGACGTGTGGAAGGCTCGCTGGCAGGACTTCACGGGACAGACCCAGTTGCCACGTGCGTCAAGTATAGCAAAGAACACCTGTACAGCTTAAAATAGACTGTCGGGGCAAGTGTTGTTAGCGAGCACCTATAATGTCCGGCATGGCACAGCAACCACGCCTGGCCGCCTTTGTCTCCCAAGTGACGATGTTTACACACCACACCAGGTACTCTTTTGAGGCTGCTCGACCTAGGGGAGGCCCAGAACGAGTTCAGATAATCGTCACTGGTGGTGGCCGTGATCGGGAATCGAACTCGGGTCGATGGCTTCGTAGCGCAGCGCGCTAACTGCTGCACCACCGCTCCTCTACCCCCTCCCCCCCTGAAGACACAAACACACTGACACATCCAAGCAATGCGATACAACCCACGGTCAACATCTTCATGTTATTTTAATAAACAATGTACGCACCCACTCTCGCTCCTGCTTGCTTTCTTTCTGTTGATGCCGCAGGCTGGCAAGGGGTGCCCCCAAAAAACCCTCCGTCCCACAACGACAGCGAGTGAATTATTCACGAATAATTAATTGCGCATTTTTTTTGGTTTTTGTTTGACTCACTGCGTTGGACCCTCCTCAATGTTTAGTTCGCGCAGGGCAAAACCCACGGTCCCTTTGGTCACGCTGGCCGCGTGCCACCGTGCCAGTTGGCCGATTCGGCGAATCCCGGCTGTGAGCAAACCTGTCGAGTTTCACGTTTTTGCCTTCGAGTTCACAGTTATTTTAGTACCACTGTGTCGTGTGTCGTGCGCCGTGTCGGCCTTCATAGGTGCTCACTAACAGCACTTGCCCCAACGGCCCGTTGAGGCTATGCGGCGGGGCCTGTGCCTCGACGTAGGGCCACGTTGGCGCTGTCACTACGACCCACGCCGCTCTCCATCACTCACTTCGGGTGCAGTGTTCCCTCGTGAGAGTTCCCACCATATTGTCGCCTCGTTATTGTCCCTTCCTTATTGTCCCTTCCTTATTGTCCCCTCCTTATTGTCCCCTCCTTATTTTTTTTCCTCCTTATTGTTCCCTCCTTAGCATTCCCTCCTTATTGTTCCCTCATTGTTCCTTCCTTATTGTCCCCTCTTCATTGTCCCCTCCTTATTGTTCCCTCATTGTTCGTTCCTTATTGTCCCCTCCTCATTGTCCCCTCCTTATTGTTCCCTCCTTATTGTCCCCTCCTCATTGTCCCCTCCTTATTGTTCCCTCCTTATTGTCCCCTCCTCATTGTCCCCTCCTTATTGTTCCCTCCTTATTGTCCCCTCCTTATTGTCCCCTCCTTATTGTCCCCTCCTTATTGTCCCCTCCTTATTGTCCCCTCCTTATTGTCCCCTCCTTATTGTTCCCTCATTGTCCCCTCCTTATTGTCCCCTCCTTATTGTCCCCTCCTTATTGTCCCCTCCTTATTGTCCCCTCCTTATTGTTCCCTCCTTATTGTCCCCTCCTTATTGTTCCCTCCTTATTGTCCCCTCTTTATTGTTCCCTTCTTATTGTCCCCTCCTTATTGTTCCCTCCTTATTGTTCCATCCTTATTGTTCCCTCCTTATTGTTCCCTCCTTATTGTTCCATCCTTATTGTCCCCTCCTTATTGTCCCCTCCTTATTGTCCCCTCCTCATTGTCCCCTCCTTATTGTTCCCTCCTTATTGTCCCCTCATTGTTCCCTCCTTATTGTCCCCTCCTTATTGTCCCCTCCTCATTGTCCCCTCCTTATTGTTCCCTCCTTATTGTCCCCTCATTGTTCCCTCCCTATTGTTCCCTCCAAAGTCACTAGCTTGCTCTCGCC